GAATTAAGTTGGACAGTGTGATGCTATGAGTTAATTCATATAATTGATAGGTTGATATAGTTGAACATAAATGCTATACCCAAAACTATCATATATTAATGATCATTAGACCAAATATAGCATAGTTTGAGGATATTTTACGATTGTAGGAAGATACAGATGTAAACTGGAATTTCTTGTGTGAAAACTTATGTGTTGATTGTCTTAGATTATTAGGATAAAATTGGGTAAAAATCTTAAATTGGGGGTCGATTTGATTAGATAAGTGTTTAATGAGGGGCATTGCACTAATCATAGTAGAATAAATATAAAAGATCTCTTCGTAACCTTTATGACTCGAGTTATTAAGCCTGCTAGGGTATTTACAACCTGGTGCCCTAAAATCATCTAATTTGGGAGTCATCGGCCAAAAACTCATTACAATGGTTATATAGAAAGTTTAAGGGAAAGAGAGTGCAAAAAAATAAAAAAAAAAAAACAGGGCATGAAACAGAAGACGCACCAAATGCTTTGGTTAAGCCACAAACACTTATTTGAGAATACTTAACTTTTGATAATAAATTATTAGCCAAGTCTAGTCCTAGAGGTCGAAACAATCAAATAATTGGAGAATCTTTGTTTATTGATGTATTGACTTACAATTAGTAGAATCCACCTGAACTAGAGAGGGTGATGATATTAATGAAAAATTCAACCTTAGATTACACACTGGGAAAATAGCGAAAAAAAGAACAAGTTTGGGGGAGTGTAAATCATAAGAGAGGTGAGAGGATATATTTGACCACAAAAGGTCAGGAATTGAAACAACTTGTAAATTCAAGATTGTCTATTTAATTCTTCACACACACACGTCAGTTTTGCATTGGAATATTGGATATTGGTTTGGAATTGTGATTTTGAAACAGTTTGTAGAATTAGTACTATAATTTCAAATACTAAGATAAAAAACAAGATTGTCTAACCAAATATTTTTGCACGTTTGTATATTTGTTATTATTTAGGTTATAATTTTGTTTGAGGACAAACAAATGTTCAAGTTTGGGGGTATTTGATAAGTGTATTTTATACACTTATTCGGGGTCTAAAATAACAATATTTGATAGTTCTTTTCACAAAATATATCCTAAATTTNGTTATAATTTTGTTTGAGGACAAACGAATGTTTACGTTTAAGGGTATTTGATAAGTGTATTTTATGCACTTATTTGAGGTCCTAAAATAGCGGTATTTGATAGTTCTTTTGACAAAATATATCCTAAATTATTGTAGTTTATATTATATAGGTAAAACTCAATGGTTGAACTAGGAATCGAAAGATAAAATCAAAAAATGGTGAAAAATGGAAAAGTCCAAAATTTAAGGATCATATTGCAAATTCAATAGTTGATTTGGACCACAAGATGATACTTTGAAAATTGATAGGAGACAATTGGATTGAATTAGAATTCAAAAATGAATGGAATATGATCAAAATATTATCAAAGTCAATTTCCAATCGCACAAGATATATTTCAGATTTTTAGTTAAAGATTGAGACCCCTGTTTGGCATAGTAAACGTCCAAACTGGAAAACCTA